AATCGCCTTTTAAAAGTAAGAAAGTTGTCTCAGAGACTGACAAAGAGGGTGACAAAGATACGGGCAGTGGTGATTGTAGTCAAAATGTTGCTCAAAAACGTAAACTTGATTCAATGTCTGAGACGGGGTCAGATACGTCAACTGTCAGTTGTCAAAAGGCCAGCCAAACTAAAATTCGGAAATATAATTCTGAATGGTTGCAGGAATTCAAATGGCTTCGTTATGAAGAGGAATGTGGTAGAATTATGATGTACTGCAAGATATGTGAGGCAGCTTGGAAAGAAAACAGATTTACAAAAGGTTGCATTAATATGAAGAAGTCAGCATTGAAAGAGCATCGTGATAGCTGTTACCACAATGTATCAAAGAACTTCCATGGCAACTCATATGAATGTGGCAACGGAAAAAAATGATGAAAAATTGACTGTGATGATGAGAATCGTACTGTTCATGGCAAAAGAAAATATTGCTACAAATAAATTTTCTAGTCTCTTGGATTTGCAGGAAAAAAATGGCTGTACCAGATTAAGTGGTGTGGTATATACACATTCTGATTCAGTGGAAGAAATGGAACATGCTTTAGTTGAAAGCACTATTAAGGATCTGAAGGAAAAAATAAAGGAAAGCAGGTCCGTTGGTTTAATCATCGATGAGACAGTAAACGGAAAACCTGAGACAATATTTCTGGGTAATTTTACGGTACACAGTGGGACGGCCGAGTGTGTCACAGAGAAGGTTAAAGAAGTGTTAGTACAGTGGAACATTCCTATCAAACAAGTAATCGGTCTACGGTTTGATGGCGCCAGTGTGATGACTGGACGGCGAAGTGGGGTCAGTGTTCGACTGCAACAAGGTCGCAGCCCTTTCATGATTCATGTGCACTGTATCGCTCACAGGGTGGCTTTAGCATCCGCTGATGCAGCCAAAGTATCTAAGACTATCGCTGATTATAGAGAAACACTGAATAACATTTGCAAACTGTACAAATATTCAGCGACGAGATATGCCAGATTACGTGAACTGTCCATGGTCAGGTCCTTTCTGATTCCGATTTTTCAAGTGTAAAACAGCCGTGCAGTGTGCGTTGGCTGTCCGTAGGGAGGGCTGTTAAGGGGACGAAAGATAACTGGCCAGCACTTGCCATGGAAATAGAAGAAGCAGCAGCAGAGCGAAATAATGGTGCAGCAGTCAATATCAAGAAAAAAATCAAAACCTACTCATTTATTGCAACAACCTACATGCTATCAGATGTGTTGTATCATATGGACAAACTTGTCACAATATTTCAAAAGACAATCTGAATCTCGGCATGATAATGCCAATTTTGAACTCAACCTGTGACTCATTGCAAAGATTGCTAAAAACACCAGGAGAAAATGAGCAATCGTTTATTGACAACATCACAAACGGCGTGTTTCGTGGTGTGAAAGTTACATATGCAGATGCACATTCGGTGCATGCTTTTCATAATTCACGTGCAGGCTTCATCGATGAATTGTGCAGTACATTACATGCCAGATTTCCTGAAGACAGTCTGTCTACCCTTACTTGTCTTGACAAAGTCCTGAACCCATCTCACTTCCCAGATTCACACAAGAATTTAATAACTATGGAAGGGATTCCCTAAATCAGCTGATTACCAATTTCAGTCCTGTGATTAGTCCAATAAATAATGACGTCACATATATCATAGATGGCGACCGGGCCAACCGTGATTTCGCCAGCTACAAAACTACAGTTGTTGGACTTGGTACACACACACTTCAACAGAACTGTCGAGTTATCATGGCTGATTATGAGGATATTTATCCAGATTTTGCTGTTTTCGCAGCTGTAGCCATGACGATACCTGTCAGCAGCGTACCAGCTGAACGCAGCTTCAGTCTACAAAACCGCATACACACGGCAAGTCGTAACCGACTTTGCCAGCTAAGATTAAACAATCTCATGATCTTGAACATGCATTCTGGTGAAAAACACCTTCCTGCAGCAAATCTACACTTCAGAAATAAAAGGAGAAAACTCTGATCGAAAGGTATGTTTTTACACAGTAACATGGGGGACCGTCCGAAAATGATAAGGACCGGTATATTTTTAGTCAGCTGGTCCAATGACCGGCTGACAAAAATGGAAACACTGCTTGGTAACTGAACTGGCACTGCATGGAAAAGGAGTAAAAAAAATATTAATCCTGTTAGGCAGTCACGAGATTGTCTGAACACTGACTGATGGACAAAACACCTATTATCATACTTATTTCAACAAACATATAGTCTACAGCGTTAGAAACAACAGTTTTCATCCACTAGTCCTTATAATGATAACATATAGCTAAACTCTTAGAAAGGGCAAATTTCTACTAGTCCTTATGATACCTTAACTATTGGGCACTTTGGCGAGGACTAAAGGACTAAAGCCAGTTTCTGCCACTGGTCCACCTGGACATAATTAGAATCCTACAGACTGATTGGCCCGGGATCAATTATACCCTAGACCATGTTTTTTTATTGGTGACCACATCACTGCTAAAGAAATTATTTATTTGAGAGCACTTCTTTCAAAAAGACAACCAACATTTCAAGAAAAGAGGTAGGTAATAAACGCCTAACAATACTGTGTCATGGTTCCTAGAATAACATAACAAATGTGACAATACATTTTAGGCATATCAAGATGTTTGTTTGTTTGTTGTTTAACATCGCACTCAGCATATGACAGCAGTCTGTAAATACTCAAGTCTGGATCAGACAATCCAGTGATTGACATCATGAGCATCGATCCACGCCACTGGGATACAATGACATGCACCAACTAAGTCAGCGAGCCTGACCACTCGATCCTGTTAGTCACCTCTTACGACAAGCATAGTCGTCTTTTACGGCAAGGATAGGTTGCTGAAGACCTATTCTACCCCGGTCCATATCAAGATGAACGACAACTAAATGAGTAGTTACTAGTACATCATTCATCAACGCTGGTGAAGCACCCACTGATCATATTTGACTTCAGATGTTTTCAACTGATTCAAAACCGGAATATATATCAAATTCTATGAATTCTATTCCTTCTACACATTCGGTTTTGAATTCATAACATTTACAGGTTGTCAAATTAAATTTATAAAAATCAACATCCAAAACCTCTAAATTGAAAACACAGCAGATTTATCTCCAAATGTAACCAATGACAACCTGGTGACCCTCAGTACACGGTAACGTGGAGACTTTGTTCACCATAATGTTCAATAACAGTACTTATTTTAATGTAGTTTGCGAGTGAGCTCTACGTATATATTTGGGACACGGCAAACATCTCATTATATGTCCGATCTGCTACCCCTCGAACTGCTGTCGGAGTGAATACTGTTGGCAAGTGGTCCATGCAAATCTTGAACTTTAGTAGTAATCAGTACAACCTAACTGACGGAATTGTTAAATTCAAATCTCGGATTTACTGTAAACTTGGGGCTAAATATTGGCCTCTGAGAGCTCCTAAACAAATCCCTGGCCAGTACATCAATTTAGTTTCAATGACATTGCTTTGAAATGTGTGTTACCAAGGTTACTTGTGTAGTCTGTCATATATTCTGAGAATATTTAGTACACCTATCATTGCCTATGTGATATGGGATTCCCAACAATCATGTTTTATTGATGCTACTGAGAGAAGCATATGACGTGACTATTTTTTAAAATAGGACAATTAAGATAAGCCAAATAAATGACCCTGCTTGCATTTGCATGGCTTAATATGAGTAAACATCAAGATAGAACAAAAACATCAACAAAAAGGAACTTCAAGAATGGCATGCAACAACCCCATCCATCAGTGTCATTCATGACCATTGGGGTCACATTTCAACAAAGCAATATTCTTTCATCAACTTGGGACACCATAAATGATAACATTTGTTTCAAGTCTCTCTGTATGTGTGTGTGTGTGTGTGTGAGGTGAGGTGTGCAAGACACTCCCCCTCCCCCCCCCCCCCACTTTTATTTTAATGAGGCAGCTAAACTCCTTAGAAACTGTTACTAAGGAAAGAGTTGTGCACATTCTCTTACCACAATTGAGGAAGGTGGGTGTACTTTACCTTGTTTTGAGTAGTATATACAATATATTTAAACAAATAACACATTAATCTGAATTCAAGGGTTCTCAAACCGTTGTGAACACTGAAAGTCTAACCACAAAACCCAACAGTCACAATACAGCGAACACCACACATACTTTCTATTAGAAGTATTGTACATTGCTCTACACATGAAAATGTTTTTAGTTTTCTTTCCAAAATAGGCAGTCAGGCGGGGTGTCGGAGAAGTCATGTAAGCACCCAAAAATGAATTTAATGATTCGATTCGATGTGTAACCCGTAACCACAATCACTGTAAACATTGGCATGAAGGCACAATGGGTAGAATCTTCGAGAGCCTGACTCAACAAGATGTGTTTCGTATGAAATAATATATATAGTATTATTGAAATGACGTTTTCGGCCCACTTTTTCAAAAATAGAATTACCTAATAATGTAGTCCTAAATATGACTATATCTATTTCCTGTCAAAATTCCAAGTACCCTCAAACAAATTCGCCGGAAGTTCTTCGTCACCGACTGTAGGTAACTTCACACGACATAGAAATATTACGGAAACTAGTAATTTCAGAACTATTTCTTCGCGACACGACAAGTAGACTGCGTGATTTAACTTAATAAATATAAATGTAGCTTCTTTAAAACCCTACTGGAGTTCATATTTATTCGAAAATCATACTACAGCGAAGTGAAAATCACACTCGTCCGCACCATGTGTTAACACACGTCTAACGTATGGCCCAGGAGGTATTTTGATTCCAAATCGACAGCGTCAAGATTATACAGTGATCTGACGAGCTGATATTTGGGAGGAATAAGGTTCTATGTGTCTTGCTGTGAAATAACAGTCTCTCATTGCCATTTATTCAATTAGTTCGATATATTTAAAACTACTAAATGTAAACTCACGTGTTGGGATGGTCGTTCAAGTAAAAGGGATGAATTGCGCATGCGCATCTCAAACTAATCCAATTCCTCGGTAGAGGGGTCGGACAATTGCACCACACACAGTCAAAGTGGTCTCCCTTTTATTATTTCCAAACAACTCGGACCTACTCGGCTTTTTCCGCTGTCGATCGGCTTGAGGTGAGACCCAGTGGAAATAAGATCTATTACCTTGAGGTTTAGGCTAACACTTAGTCAATGAAAACATGTCTTTATTTTTTTTATTCTTATATCTAAAATGGCTAACAATATATAGCCCTGCATGTCAAGAAGGCGGGGATAAATATTTTGAGAAGCCTACCTACATTCGTTGCAACCGTTTTCACCAGCCTTCTTTTTCAAAATCTTCCAGGCAAATATAATGCCAGTACTCTTGTACGGTGCGGAAGTTTGGGGGTTCGAAAAAGTTGTATAAGGTACAAGTGTACGCAAATAAGTCTAGACCAGACAATCCAGTGATTGACATCATGACCATCGATCCACGCAATTAGGATATGACATGCTTCAACTGATTGAGTCCGACTACCTGATCATGTTAGTTGTCTTTTACGACCATCAGAGTCGCCTTTTACGGAAAGCATGGGTTGCTGAAGACCCATACTCTAACTTCACTGGTCTGACAACATGACTAATAGTGAGCCTGCTTTATGCTCCAGTAACAGTCTATCATCATGTGGTTGTATCTCACTTGTGACACAGAAGAAGGGGCACTGGTTGCCAAATAGTTTAAGGCGACACATTTTGCGATGCAGAATTGCGCCACTTGGGCACACTAGAAACCAATTATTGAGGGTTCCAATTCTGGTTTGCCCTGATTATGTTTCTAAGCTTGTCAGCACCATGGGTTTTGCCAAAGCAGTAAACTTCTGAGACCTGCATCACTTCGGGCTTTCCTCTCACATTAAACTAACACGCTGTGATATAACACTTACCTACCCAAAAGGAGGTTTGTTTGTTTTATCTAAAACTGTCTGCCTCGAACACCACAGTGTTAGGTGAATGTGGTAGATACCCCAATCATGACAATATGTGTGAAGTATTGGTTAAATATTTTGACAATGCCCCAGGGTCGTTTACCCCAAAAATGTTATGATATGGTGTGCTTGTATGATGAGCAGTGTTACAAAGTCTGTATTGGTTAGGATGTGGAGATATATGGTTATATCAAATGCATGGTTACAAAAATGCATTTTCCCATATGTTTCAGCAACGTTTAAAGGACAATTTCTGCCAAATTTGGCACAGTGATGTACTTGCAAGTTCAAAAATGTCCTAGTATGCAACATTTAAAGTTTTTATAAATTGTGAAAACTATTTTGACTTCATAACACAAAGCAAATTAAAAATTGCTCTTTCTCGTTTTCGTTGAAGTTGTCATGACCTGGAAATTGAGTGTGAGAGTCACTTCAATATCCCGAGAAATTAAAGAAAATGTAAACTTTGTAACTTAAACTGAATTCCAATTTCTTTTAGCTTGTTTCATCTTCATCCTCACATTCATAAATTTAACATTTTGATGTAATCGCCAAACATCTTTACAAATCTAGCAAAATAATTTGTACTGTTTACTGCAATTCCGCCTGTACCGTCATGTTTGCGCACAAAGGCCCGAGGCCTAAAAGTACTGAGCTATATTGATTATTGATTGATTGATTGATTGACAATCTCATTAAATTCAGATCTTAGTTCTCGCTATCGCTAACCAAATATCTGAGGACATCCCATTACGGGTCACGTCAGAATGACCTTTCGCGAACATTGACCGACCAATGAAATGACTGACAAGAAATCGACATTTGCCAATCAGAAGGCAGCTATCTCGAGCTCTACGACACTAGTTTCAAACTGGCGAGTACGCTTTGAAACATATTTTGACGTATTCTCGATTAAACAATTTAAAACTGACCAAAACAACATTCTGGAATGGCTTATAGATGGCCTAGATTGTATGGATTTTATCATAATACCCGTAACTGTCGTTCGGAATAACCCGTGTTAAATATTTCGAGGTTGCATGATTAGAAAACACATTCCGACCGTCACTTTCAGGATCTGGTAAGCGACGCTGTGATTGGTTTGGATGAAAGGTCATGCTGACGTGACCCGTAATGGGATGTCCTCAGATCTTTGTTTAGCGGTAGCGAGAACTAAGATCTGGTTTTAATGAGATTGATTGATTGATTGATTGAAAGATTGATTGATTGAAAGAGCATTTTATTCTCTAGTTGCTAAACTTCGATACAATGCGAGACTGACCTAGGTTGCACTTCTTTGTGGTATAGTTTTTTAGTATAAGCCAGACATATGCATCTGTCATGTACCGTAGATCCCAATAATTTGGTACTAAAGTGGTTACAGTGTTCGTTTTTGTTTTTTGTTGTTGTTGTTTGTTTTTTTAACGCCGCACTCAGAAATGCAGTCTGTACATACTCGAGTCTGGACCAGACAATCCAGTGATTGACATCATGAGCATCGATCCACACAATTGGGATCGATGACATGCATCAACCAAGTCAGCGAGCCTGACCACCCGATCCCGTTAGTCGCCTCTTACGACAAGCATAGTCGCCTTTTACAGCAAGCATGGGTTGCTGGGGAAGACCTATTCTACCCCGGATCTTCACGGGTCTAAAGTGTTCGTGCGTCCACACGAGTTAATAGCTGTACACAGATAAACAATGTGGTTCGTCACATTCGAGACAGAGGTGATTCCTGCATGACAATACAATATATGTGTGAAATTTAAAAAAAGCAGCGTAAAAACGAAATTACCCACAATGTCGTTGATGATGTTTTGTTCGTAAGACAACCATGGTTTTGGAGGACCACTCTAAACCAAATCCCTGCGGTGTTTGGGAACAAGTCGTGTCGAGTATTGTGTAGAGAGGGGTTATTATAAGAGACTGAACGATGAATGTAACCAGTGCATGAGAATGGTTTTACGCCGCTTTTATCAATATTCCAGCAACATCACGGCATTGGACATACACTCTACGGTAGTTCTGCGCCATGACTGGAATTTATTTTATTTAGGTACTTTTTTCTACTAAAAGCCTAGGCAAGTCTAGATCAAACTAACCAAGTCTAGTTTGCTTGATTCCACATATGAAAACAACAGAAGTGGAAAGGTTCTTTCAAAGAAAAAAATAATAATTTTAAAGACATGTTTTCACTGACTAAGTAAAATTCTAATTCTCCGCATGTTGGCAACCGAACTCGGGCCTTCTGAACGACGAGCGAACGCTTTAACCACGAGGCTACCCCGCCGCCCCTTAAATGTTAGGTACGAATATACTTTATTGTCGCACAAATTAGTTGAATCTAGAAAACATGGATTGCGGTTTCTTTTGTCTTTCTTGTTTTAAAGGAGTCGGGTGGTTCTTTGTCGTTAAAAGAGTCGGGTGGCGCGTTGTCGTTAAAAGAGTCGGGTGGTTCCCTGTCGTTAAAAGAGTCGGGTGGCGCGTTGTCGTTAAAAGATGCGGATGGCGCGTTGTCGTTAAAAGAGTCGGGTGGCGCGTTGTCGTTAAAAAAGTCGGGTGGTGCTTTGTCGTTAAAAGAGTCGGGTTGTCGTTAAAAGAGTCGGGTGGCCCGTTGTCGTTAAAGGAGTCGGGTGGTTCTTTGTCGTTAAAAGAGTCGGGTGGCGCGTTGTCGTTAAAAGAGTCGGGTTGCGCGTTGTCGTTAAAAGATGCGGATGGCGCGTTGTCGTTAAAAGAGTCGGGTGGCGCGTTGTCGTTAAAAAAGTCGGGTGGTGCTTTGTCGTTAAAAGAGTCGGGTTGTCGTTAAAAGAGTCGGGTGGCCCGTTGTCGTTAAAAGAGTCGGGTGTTGCGTTGTCGTTAAAAGGGTCGGGTGGTGCGTTGTCGTTAAAAGGGTCGGGTGGTGCTTTGTCGTTAAAAGAGTCGGCTGGTTCGAGGTCGTTAAAAGGGTTGGCTGGTGCGTTGCCGTTAAAAGGTTCGGGTGGTGCTTTGTCGTTAGTTAAAAGATGCGGATGGCGCGTTGTCGTTAAAAGAGTCGGGTTGCGCGTTGTCGTTAAAAGAGTCGGGTGGTGCATTGTCGTTAAAAGAGTCGGATGGTGCGTTGTCGTTAAAAGAGTCGGGTGGTTCGAGGTCGTTAAAAGAGTCGGGTGGTGCGTTGTCGTTAAAAGGGTCGGGTGGTGCTTTGTCGTTAGTTAAAAGAGTCGGATGGCGCGTTGTCGTTAACAGAGTCGGGTGTTGCGTTGTCGTTAAAAGAGTCGGGTGGTGCGTTGTCGTTAAAAGGTTCGGGTGGTGCTTTGTCGTTAGTTAAAAGATGCGGATGGCGCGTTGTCGTTAAAAGAGTCGAGTGGTGCGTTGTCGTTAAAAGAGTCGGGTGGTGCATTGTCGTTAAAAGATGCGGATGGCGCGTTGTCGTTAAAAGAGTCGGGTTGCGCGTTGTCGTTAAAAGAGTCGGGTGTTGCGTTGTCGTTAAAAGGGTCGGATGGTGCGTTGTCGTTAAAAGGGTCGGGTGGTGCTTTGTCGTTAAAAGAATCGGGTGGTGCTTTGTCGTTAAAAGAGTCGGGTGTTGCGTTGTCGTTAAAAGGGTCGGATGGTGCGTTGTCGTTAAAAGGGTCGGGTGGTGCTTTGTCGTTAAAAGAATCGGGTGGTGCTTTGTCGTTAAAAGGGCCGGGTGGTGCGTTGTCGTTAAAAGGGTCGGGTGGTGCTTTGTCGTTAGTTAAAAGAGTCGGATGGCGCGTTGTCGTTAACAGAGTCGGGTGGCGCGTTGTCGTTAAAAGAGTCGGGTGTTGCGTTGTCGTTAAAAGGGTCGGGTGGTGCGTTGTCGTTAAAAGGTTCGGGTGGTGCTTTGTCGTTAGTTAAAAGATGCGGATGGCGCGTTGTCGTTAAAAGAGTGAGGTGGCGCGTTGTCGTTAAAAGAGTCGGGTTGCGCGTTGTCGTTAAAAGAGTCGGGTGGTGCGTTGTCGTTAAAAGAGTCGGGTGGTGCGTTGTCGTTAAAAGAGTCGGGTGGTGCATTGTCGTTAAAAGATGCGGATGGCGCGTTGTCGTTAAAAGAGTCGGGTTGCGCGTTGTCGTTAAAAGAGTCGGGTGGTGCGTTGTCGTTAAAAGGGTCGGGTGGTGCTTTG